TGCTCTAGGCCTTTTAATCACTTGCATATTTTAATCACTTGCTGGTTCAAGTCCCGGCTGCTCCTCTTCCGATCCAACCGCCTGCTAATGGCCTGGAAAAGCAGCGGAAGATGGCCCAAGTGCTCAGGCCCCTGCTTCCACACGGGAGACCCTGAAGAAGCTCCTGGCTCCTGGCCTCGGATCATCTCAGCTCTGGCCATTGAGGAAGTGAACCAGTGGGTGGAAGACATCTCTCTCTGCCTCTAACTCCGCCTTTCGAATAAACATTTTTTAAAAAGAAGAAACCCATGCTCCTGCCACACCCAGGAGACAGCCTTGTCTGAATGCGTAGGATGAAATGCTGCTGGATTCATGGATCCCTGATAACAACCCAGTTGGATCTCTAAATTCCATTTGTTGTAACTTTGTCTCTCGACATCCCCGAAGCTGCCAGCACTGTCTCTCAGTAAACTCTGCTCTGGTTCTCCATGCTTGCACTTCATGTCCCTGCTTGGAATTCATCTGAGTCCAGAACTTGGAATAAATCCAGCCCCACCACACCTGGAGGCAGGAAGCTGGGCCCTTTGCCGTCATGACTGCTGGTTTTGGTCAGCTTGGAGGAGGAGGACACTCCCTTGGCCTTGTAGCTGAGCCTAGACCCAGTGCCTGGGATACGGTTCTAGTCTCCCGCGGTCTCCCAGACCCACTCCCTCAAGCTGGGTTGCCTTGTTCTGCAGATCAACCTCTTAAGATTAGCTCGGCCAGCGCTGCAGCTCACTAGGCTAATCCTCCGCCTTGCGGCGCCGGCACACCGGGTTCTAGTCCCGGTCGGGGCGCCGGATTCTGTCCTGGTTGCCCCTCTTCCAGGCCAGCTCTCTGCTGTGGCCCGGGAAGGCAGTGGAGGATGACCCAAGTGCTTGGGCCCTGCACCCGCATGGGAGACCAGGAGGAGCACCTGGCTCCTGGCTTCGGATCAGTGGCCGCAGTGTGCCAGCTGCGGCAGCCATTGGAGGGTGAACCAATGGCAAAAGGAAGACTTTTCTGTTTCTCTCACTGTCCACTCTGTCAAAAAAGATTAGCTCATGAGTGGAGGGCATGGTGCTCCCAGTCCAACAGGGGCCCTGAACAGAGGCATGAGATCATCTACCACCCCTAAAGATAACGATTTGACATGGAGTCTTAGTCCAAGCAAAGAATAACTTCCACTCGACTGGCTGGAGCCTACCTTGCCATCATCGAAATTCCCTGAAGAACACATCACTGCCCCATCAAAGGAGAGCCGTGAGTACTGTGGACCAACCAGAGACCTGGATGTGAGCTGAACACGCCCCTCTCAACCCCAGCCTCAATCCATAAGAACCCTTGCAATGTAACCTCTCAAGGAGCTCAGGGTTGAAGTCATAGCTGCCTGGGTCGTTGGTCGGTGCTTTGTATTAGACACCTGCTTTTCTCCGCCATCTTGGTAACTGGTTTGCTGTGCTTTGGGTGAGCGGATCCAGTTTTTTGGTGGGGGAGGCTATGGAGATTCGTCCAACCACTTTGAGAGTTTTTAAATGTTTTGTTAGGAAGTCAGATATGAGCTTATGTGTGTGTGTGACAAAGGCCTAAAGAAAAGACGTCTATGTCCAGCATATGCATCTGCATCTCAAAGTCATCCCGATAACGCTTCAGGGGCAGCCCAGTGTTCACATCCTGCCCTGTCCTCTTCTACCCAATAACCTGCCAGGTGGGGGTCCCTGCCCCTTCTGCCCGACAATCTTCCACAGTCTCCCAGATGCAGCCCAGTATCTGCATTTCAAATACCCTGCTCCAGACCTGGTCCGGATCCTGGGTTAGGACGGCGCCAGCTAGGCTTCCTCCTGTCTGATACCTTCAGGGGAAAATTCAGATAGGAGCTTCTTAATATTTACATCCATAAAATCCTTTGTTTCAGGAGGAGATGTGTGAAGACAAAGACCCATCTCCTTAAACCCCCCCCCCCCCCCCCACCGGCCTCAACCGGACTGTGCGCTCAGCGCTCTGTCTAGCTGAGCCGCCCACCTGCCTGCCCAGGTGTAATCTCCCCACACAACCATGTAACCTTGCCCCCCCCCCCCAGTCTGAGCGACTGGGCACACTTTCTCAGGTCCTGTCTGGAGAGGTGCCCATCCTTTCTTGCGGATGTCCCTTCCCTAATAAACCTTGCTACTTTACTTTCCACTACTGTCTCATGCCTGAATTCTCTCCTGCGGGAAGACAAGAACCCTGCCATTCACTGGTAACAGTTTCTTTTATTTGAAAAGCAGAGTGATGGAGAGAGAAGCCTCTTTCATCTGCTGGTTCACGCCCCAAACGCCCACAACAGCCAGCGCCGAGCCAGGCTGAAGCCAGGAACTCGGCATTTCATCCTGGTCTCCCACAGGGGTGGCAGGAGCCCAGGAACTTGAGCCATCATCTGGTGCCTCCCAGGATGCGTGAGCAGGGTGCCAGATCCACAGCAGAGGAGCCAGGACTTGAACAAGCACCCTTTCCACCCAGTGGCTTAACCTGCTGTGCCACAGCGCCCGCCCCTATGGCTCCTGTGCGGCAAGCCGTGGTGCTATTGGACCGCACACTCAAGTCCCGCCCTAGGCACCCGTTCTCTCTGCTGAGGACAGAAGTTGAGTCAAGGACGAGATCTCCTCCGGATGTTGCAACACACAGGGACTTCCAGGCAAAGGCCCAGCTGGGGGGGGGGGGGGGTTCATCAGCAGGGGCCGGTCCCCAACATACCCCGGCAGAAAGAGCTTATGAATCTGCCTGACAAAGACACGCCGGGAACCCAGTGTCCCTCAGTCCAATTAATCCTTGCCATAGGCCGGTGCCACAGCTCACTAGGCTAATCTTCCACCTTGCAGTGCTGGCACACCGGGTTATAGTCCCGGTCGGGGCGGCGGATTCTGTCCCAGTTGCCCCTCTTCCAGGCCAGCTCTCTGCTGTGGCCAGGGAGTGCAGTGGAGGATGGCCCAAGTGCTTGGGGCCTGCACCCCATGGGAGACAAGAAGCACCTGGCTCCTGGCTTCGGATCAGCGCGGTGCGCCGGCCGCAGTGTGCTGGCCGCGGCGGCCATTGGAGGGTGAACCAATGGCAAAGGAAGACTTTCCTCTCTGTCTCTCTCTCACTGTCCACTCTGCCTGTCAAAAAAAAATTCTCGCCATTCCCCTAAAGGAACAAACTCCCCTGAGACGGGGGTGATGTGAAGTAGAAGAGGGAACTCTGCCGGGTGGGACATGTGAGGCTGCCGGACCACAGACCTGCCACGGGAACCAGGATTCTACCGCCCTGTCCTATCTGGTCAACCCCCTGAAACGGTCCTGCTGTGCCCATTTTACAGATCAGCACCACCTGCCGAGCAGGAAGCCAGGACCCAGGCCCAGGGAGGTGGGCTGCAGGCCACGCCCCGTTGTCCCGGGTGATTTCCCGGGGGATACACCCATGCCTGGGACATGCCAGGAGGCTCCCTCTGCAGCCCAGGCCCCACCATTTCCTGGCAGCCACGGGCTCTGCCTTCTCTCAACCCACACCCACTGCCCTATAGTACTTTGGGGAGCTGCTCAGTACCACCACCTCCAGGAAGCCCACCGGCACCAAAGTCCTTGGTCTTCCAGTCCTGTACACAGCTCAACAGAATCTGCCTGGAGAGGGGCACAACTCCTTTAAGATTGTTTATTTAAGAGGGAGCAGTGAGGGACGGGAGAGGAAGAGAGAAGTCCATTTGCTGGTTCACTCCCCAAATGCCTGCAGTGGCCAGGCTGAGGCCAGGAGCTGCATGCAGATCTCCCACGTGGGTGGCAGGGGCCCGAGCACTTGGGCCACCTTCTAGCTTTCCCGGGTGCATTAGCAGGGAGCCCGATCTGAAGCAGAGCAGCCAGGACTCAAACCCAGCACGCACATGGGATGCTGGCGTCTCAGGCAGTGGCTTAACCCACTGTGCCACCCAAGTCCCTGTTAATGTGGATGCCCTGGCCCAGTGTGCTTGACCACACCAAGAATCACCCAGGAGTCTCAGGTGCAGATTCTCAGGCCTGGGATGGAGCCCAGGACTCCAAACCTCCAACAACCCCCCACGTGACACCAACAGCGTGCACAGACCCCACTTTGCTGCCCTTAGCGGGCCCTGCTCCGAATGGACTTCAGATACCCATCTCCCTAGCTGAGACACACCTGAGCCCCACCTGCAGCCAGAGCCGAGGCGGCCCGCTAGTCACTGCGGGACTCCTGTGGGTTGATGCCCAAGGACCCCGCCCACCAGGTACCAGGCCCAGCTTGGCCAGGAGCAGCCTCAAGCTCACAGCAGGTAGCTACTGCAAATGTGACCTTCCCCCAAGGAGACAGGGCCTGGAGCAAGGCTGGGGCCAGCTCAGCGCAGCGGACAGCAAAACACACGAGGCCATCTCCCAAGGGAGACGGGGTCAGCAGGCCCCCCACCCCAGCCCACTCTCAGTTCCTGGGGGCCAGGACAGCAAGACCAAGGCAGGGCCCAGGCCTCCCAGCCCCTAGAGCCGAGAAACCCCTTCTCCCAGAGCCCACGGCCAGTTATTACCCAGAACAGTGCACTCCACAGCGCCCAGCTCAAGGCCATCGCCCCAGACGGGGCAGGAAGCAGAGCTAAGGTCCCTGCCTGATGGTACAGAACCAGCCAGCTCTGGACCTTGGGCCCCCTGAATGTAGATGGAGACCCTGCCCCCATGGCCCCTAGGGAAGGGGGATTGGAAGTCTTCTTGCTTCCCTGGCCCTGGAGTCAGATCCATGGGACCGGGAGACCCAAGCTTCGAGCTGGGAGGAGGCTGGCTGGGCCCCACCCTGCCTTTATCACCAGCAGGTTCCACGTGTCCCTGGGAGAAGGGGGAGCCCTGACCCCAGGAGGGACTTTGATACTTGAAGCCAGAGGCCACAGGTGGGCCTACCAAGCGCTGGCCTCTCACTGGCGATGCAATCGCTGGGCTCTGGGTGACAACTGACCCACTCCCCCCACCCATCTGTCCCCACTGAAGGACTCCCAGAAGTCATGATTTTTTATTGGGAAGCAGACCTGGGGTGGGAAGCAGCGTGGCGCCCCCTGGTGAGGCCCAGGACCACAGCAGCCACAGCCAGGAACACAATGGTGGCCATGCCGAAGCCCAGCACCAGGGTCGCCTGCGCAGCAGAGGCCAGCCCCTCTGTGCCGGCAGGGTCACCAGCCTTCCCCAGGAAGATCAGCGGGCCCACGGTGACGTCTGCTTCTTCCGTCACTGTGAGAGGCACAGAACACCCGAGTGTCACCTTGGTCCCTAGCCAGGAGTCCAATTGTAGGTTTAGCTCTTAGTGTAAAATCTACTGGTTTAGCCCATGAACAGTGGCATCAGCCCTGTCCACATGCCTACCAGCAGGGGCCCAAGCTCATGGCAGGGCTAAAGCAGCCGCCACCCGGGTGGGCACCTAGACCCCTTCCTACCTAGCCCCAGGGTTTCTGTGTAAGAGACAGAGTCTGCCTTCCCCTGGGGCTAGGCGGCCCTGACAGGGAACAAGGGTGGAGCTGCAGCTGTTGGCCAAGGCCACAGGGAGGGCAGTGGCTGTCCCACGTCATACCGTGCCTGCGGCTTCGCAGAGAGGACCGGGCAGCATGGTTCTGGTTCATGGGGGAGCCTGCGATGAGGTCACAGTCACCGTTGCCGCAACACTCACAGATGTCTGCACTGCCTTCCACCGGGGCCCAGCTGAGAGAGTAGTAAGAGAGCAGCTAAGGTCTGTGTGTGTCGGAGGGGAACAGATGCAGGGGGAGGGGGCGCTCAGGCTCGGGCCTGCTCACCTGCTGGAGGACTGGTTGAAAGAACAAGCCTTGTTGAGCCGGTCCGGGGCTTGCTGGGCAGGAATGACCCTCAGGTGACACGTGATGTAGACCTGGGAGAAACAGCAGCTGTGAGCAGACTGAGTTCCAGAGCGGAGCTCCAGGCTGTGCCAGTGACTTTAAATGTTTAAAAAGTTCTATTTGAAGGACAGCTACAGAGAAGTAGAGACAGAGAGGTCTTCCATCTGCTGGTTCATTCCCCAGACGGCCACAATGGCCGGAGCTGTGCTGATGTGGAGCCAGGAGCTTCTTCCTGGTCTCCCATTTGGGTGCAGGAGCCCAAGCACTTGAGCCGTATTCTACTGCTTTCCCAGGCCGTAGCAGGGAGCTGGATTGGAAGAGGAGCAGCTGGGACTAGAACTGGTGCCCATACAGGATGCCGGTGACTCAGGCCAGGGCTTTAACCCACTGTGCCACAGCGCAGGCCCCAAGAATTTTTCCCCTTGGTGAGCAGGCATTATGGTGCAGCGGGTTAAGCCCCTATAGATGACGCCTGCATCCCACAAGTGCCTGGTCCGAGTCCCAGCCATGTTGTTTAAGATCCGGCCTCCTGCTGGCACTGCGGCTCACTAGGCTAATCCTCCACCTTGCGGCGCCGGCACACCGGGTTCTAGTCCCGGTCAGGGCGCCGGATTCTGTCCCAGTTGCCCCTCTTCCAGGCCAGCTCTCTGCTGTGGCCCGGGAGTGCAGTGGAGGATGGCCCAGGTGCTTGGGCCCTGCACCCGCATGGGAGACCAGGAGAAGTACCTGGCTCCTGCCTTCGGATCAGCGCAGTGCGCCGGCCGCAGCAGCCATTGGAGGGTGAGCCAATGGCAAAGGAAGACCTTTCTTTCACTGTCCACTCTGCCTGTCAAAGTAATAAAAAAACCCGGCCTCCTGCTGATGCACACCCTGGAAGGCAGCAGGTAGTGGCTCAAGCACGGAGACCCGGCTGGTGCTCCCGGTTCCTGGCTTCAGCTTGGCCCAGCCCTGGCTGTTGCAGGCGTTTGGGGAGTGAACCAAACCCGAGCATGCTGACATGGGACACATCATTAGCTCAAACGCGCACCCTGCCACCAGCGGCTCTAACAAGACCCTTGATCCTCGGCAGGCTGCAGGACTAAGCCCCATCTCTAAAGTGGTAGGGGACAGGCGTTTGGTGCAGAGGTAAAGTTGCTACTTGGGCTCAGAGCCCATATTGCAGTACCCGATTCTGTTCCATTCTGGGCTCCTCAGCTTCCTGCTAGCGAGTGGGCGCCCTAGAAGGCAGCAGTGGCCCAGGTAGCTGGGTGCCTGCCAACCACATGGGAGACCCGGATTGAGTCCTAGGCACCCGGCTCCAGCCAACCCCAACCGTGACGATGGCATTGGAGACATCAGCCAGAGGGTGGGAGCTGTCTGTTTCTACCTTTCCAATGAAGCCAAAGGAAGCTCAAGGTTTAGGGGTTAATTCATCCAAAATTGCACAAGTAGCAAAGCCGATTCTAGACTAGAAGTCCATCTCTCCCAGACTCGCCCACTTCACGTGCTCCATCCTGGGCTTAAGGAATCAGACTTGGGGCCGGCGCTGTGGTATAGCGGGTAAAGCTGCCGCCTGCAGTGCTGGCATCCCATATGGGCGCCAGTTCGAGACCCGGCTGCTCCACTTCTGCTCCAGCTCTCTGCTGTGGCCTGGGAAAGCAGTGGAAGATGGCCCAGGTGCTTGGGCCCCTGCACCCATGTGGGAGACCTGGAAGAAGCTCCTGGCTCCGGATCGGCACAGCTCTGGCCTTTGCAGCCATTTGGGGACTGAATCAGCAGATGGAAGATTCTCTGCTTCTCCCTCTCTGTAACTAGGGCTTTCAAGTAAAATTTAAAAAAAAAAGGAATCGGACTCCAGGATGAGCCCGGGATGGAGCATTGCTAAGTCACCGCCCGTCCCTCGCTGCCTGCCCAGGTAGGGGGCGCCATACCAGCAGCAGCTTCTGCAGGGCTCCTACATCTACCACCTGCCCTTGACCGGCTGACACCCCCTCCCCCACCCCGTCCCAGGAGGAAGGCTTCCGTCGCCCTCTCAGCATCACTACCCACAACAGACAACTGCTTCTGTCCTTGGCTTCCTCCCAGCCATCCCTCTGGCCTTACCCGGAGCCAGAGATCCCTGCAGCTCTTCAGGCAGGTCGTCCTGGTCTCTTAGGGCTGTACAGCCATCCCTGCCACCCATGGTCAACACTGCCCTGCTAGTTGGGCACCAGCTCCATTTGCACCCCTGCTGCTGGCCACCCCCCTGACACTGTTTCCCCATCCTCTGCCCCACAGAGCCATTTCAACTCCCTACCCCGGCCAGGATCTTCCACCCTAACACCCCTTCTGTGGGCCAGGATACCTTCTGCCCACCTGTCCGTTCTCCCACCCCACTCGGCCCGCCAAGCGAGAGCTTCAGGCCCACTCTGTCTTGCTTCTTGCCCTCCTGCAGTCTGCCAGCCTGCGTGAAACCCTTGTTCTTCCTACAAGGCTGTGGAGGCCAGGAAGGGAGCATCGTGGAACAGTCTGCAAACTCCCCCTGGTGTCCCCAATGCTGCCCAGCCCTCAGTGGACTGCACAGCTGATTACTTGTTAGAATTGCCTGGCCCTGGGGCCGGCACTGTGGCATAGTGGGTAAAGCCACCACCTGCAGTGCTGGCATCCCACATGGGCGCCGGTTCGAGTCCTGGCTGCTCCACTTCTGATCCAGCTCTCTGCTACGGCCTGGGAAAGCAGTGGAAGATGGCCTAAGCCCTTGGGCCCCTGCACCCACAGGGGAGACCCGGAACACACTCCTGGCTCTGAAGCCGTTGCAGCCATCTGGGGAGTGAACCAGCAGATGGAAGACCTCTCTGCCTTTGAAGTAAGTACATCTTTATGAAAAGTCACCTGGTGGTAGGGAGGTGGGCATTTAGCCGACAGTTAAGGCACCTGCCTCCCAGTGTCTGCTCCAGCTCTCTGCTAATGCTGATCCTGGGAGGCAGCAGGTGTTGGCTCCAACACCCATGTGAGAGATCTGGATTGAGTTCCTGGATTGAACCCTGGACCCAGTCCTGGCCATTGACCCATTGTGGGTGTTTGGGGAGAACCACTGGATGGGGCACTCTAGCTTCTTTCAATGTAGAGAAAAAAAAAAAAAAAGAGGCTATATTTGAAAGAAAGGCTGAGTGGCAGAGCAAGTTGTGCTAGCCAAGCTGAAGCAAGGAGCCTGGCCCGCCGTCCTTATCTCCTGGGCCCTAAGACTCCAACTATCTTCTGCTGCTTTCCCAGGCACGTTAGTAGTGAGCTGGATCATAGCCAGGACCCAAAGCCGCACTCCCCGCTACAGGCGGCTTAACCCAAGCTCCACAGCTCCAGCTCCACCTCCGGTTTTTAGAAGCAAACAATCACCTGATGTTTGTGACATCTGTTGCACTTCCAAGCAAAATGATAGAGTTTTGCTCAGATCATCCCTACCCCACCTAACGGTCGAACTCGGAGGCATTGACTTTAAACCTCTTCCAACTGCGTGTATGTGGGAAGCATCAGAGATAGGAGACAGGGGAGGCCAGGCCCCACCCTGCCAGGGGAACACCAGCCTTAGTTTCCCCTTTCCAGCCCAGTGCCAGGGAGCTAGCGCTGAGAACTGTTTTATTCACTTCCCCCTCACCGGTTCTGCTAACCGCCACCACCCCCACTCCCCACTCAGGGAGCTGGTGCGCGAGCTACCTGGTCTTCACTTGTGAGCCTTGCCAGCACCACCTGACCTGGCTCCAGGCCGGGCCCCCTGCCCCATCCCTGCCCGCCCTGCCCCATCCCTGCCTGCGGGAGGGAGCCATCCTCACCTCCCTCCCCCTCTTGGGCTTCAGGGGTAGGCTTATCTTAGTGGTTTGCTGAGTAGAAGTAGGTTCACCTGTAAGCTCCTTAGGACTGCAAAGCCCAGGCTCCTCCCAGACCCCCGGAGGTGGGGCCCAGACACCTGTCTGCAGGTGGAGCTGGCTCCTATAAATCCTGAGGCTACGCTGCCCAGACCTCCAGACCCGCCTTCTTTGCCCTTGGAGAAAGCCTGCAGAAGGCGGGACCTCTGCCCTGCTGGCCTTGGTGAGGACAAGGTCTCCAGACCTCATAGTTGTCGCTCGAGCTATCAGCTCAGTCTCCTGGTTCTCTGCTTGCCCCCCATTTCTAGGACCCCTGCCCCTCTCCATCCTGCAAGGTCTCCTACCAGCCTCGTAAGGCTCTGTTGCTCCTGCCTTCTCCAGGGAGACCTCGCTGCAGCCCATGGCTTGATCTGCTTGGTCCCTTGTCACTCAGATGGGGGCCCGAGCAGGAAGTCCTGGGCTGATGAGCTCTAAGGAATACCAGGGGGTTACTAAGCCCGACCCAGCGTCCCACCTGCTTCCAGGCTATAGAATAGACCAGAGTTACCGTGTGCCTGGAGTCATTAGCGAAGTGGAACACGGCCACCATGAACTGGAGCACGTCCGGCTTCGGCCTGGGGGCTTTGAACTTGGAAGCCCCATCGGAGAGGCCATCCACAAGACAGCTTGAAGGAGAGCAAGAGAAGGCCATCAGAGGTCGCGGAGAGGCCGGTCACCCCGCCAGGAAGGTCACCCAAGAGAGGGAGCCCCAACCCTCACCCGTGCAAGTCCACGATGGTGTGATAGGGGGAGCCGCTCTGGTCCCGTGTCGGGGTGGCCACGCAGCGATCCACGAACAGCAGCAGGGGCGGGTGGCTGCCCGTGCGGACCTCTGCCTGCAGGTGGGCCGTGTCGCCCAGGTGGAAGGTGGGGGACATCTTTTCTCGGCTCCAGTTCTCTGGAAGGCATAGCCGGGGCTGAGACAGCCCTAGGCTCTCACAGCAGCTCCCCCCAGGCAACCGCCACCCCCAGCTTACCCTCCATGAGGCGCAGGGAGAACACCAGCCTCTCCTCTGACAGTACCGTGGTCCAGAAGGGCACCCAGGTCGGCAGGATCGCCCGGCTGCTCACGTTGCCCTGCCTGGGAGAGGGACCAAGCTGCCCGGGCCTGCCCACTTGGGCCCACGTTGGGCCATGGCTAAGAACGGAAGCGCCAACAGACACCCAAGGCTGAAGCCAGTCCTTTACTGCACCCCCTCCCCCAACCTCCGCACCCACGAGTGGCCCAGTGCGTGCTGCGTGCCAAGGTATCCAAGCTTCCACACTTGGCTCCTAGACCCACATCTGCCCCTCTTCGGCTTCAGCCAAGTCTGGGGTCCGGGGCAGGGGGCCCTGCCTGTACTGCATGTCCTCCTCGGAATTCTTGAGCGGGGGCAGGGGTCAAGGTTGAGAAAGTCCGTTAGAGACAAGCACAAATGGGCTTTGGCCCTCCAGAAGCCAGCAAGAGAACCTGAGATCGTGCCGGGCACAGGCGGGTCCCTGGCCTGTGAGAGGGGGACCAGGTGGCTGCAGACGTCCACCCCACTGACCCAAGGTCAATGGGCAGGGGCTGCTCCTCCGAGTGACGCACCTGTGACGAGGTACCCGGAGCTGGTCAAAGCGTCCCAGCCTACAGCACGTCACCCCAGGGCATCTGCAGCCTGGAGGCTGGGTCCGTCTGCATCAGGTAGAGCTACTGAGTTCAGGGATGGCCATGGCCCCAGGAGGGCTGGCTCAGCACCCTGCCCTCGGCTCCTTAATCTCCCCCCACCCCGGCTGTCAGAGGGTGGGCCTCAGCTCCTCACCCAGTTCTCCACCTGCTCTCAGGTGACCCCCTGGGGCGAGAAGCAGTCCTCACCCGTCCTGGGTGGCGCTCACTGAGGGATCTCAATCTGAACATTGAGTCTGCTTGTCCTGCTTGCTTTAGGGACCCAGGCTGCTAGGGGCCCGCTGCCCTGCCCTGCCCTGGATGTGTGCCCACACGACCCTGCCCGGGGCAAGGGTGGTCATCCGGGAGCCTCCTCCAGGCCTGTGGCCGAGTCCTCGGGTCAGCACCTTCATGCCGGCATCAAGCCTCCAGCCTGCTCAAGGGCTGAGCATGTGCCTGGTATGGGACTCCACCTCATCTGTGGGAGCCACCGGCAGGGCAAGGCACACTCTTCACACCAGGGACCAGGGCCACGGGCAGAGGGCAGGTTGCAGGCCCAGGGCAGAGGGCAGAAGCCACCGTAGCACAGTTGGCCTCCCAGGAGCTGGGCGCACCCCCTGCAGCTGCCCCAGATGCATTTCAAGGGCTCGGAGTGGACCCGGCAGATCCCGCATTCCCACCCGGGGCACAGGGCAGGGGCCGCCTCACAGCCCTGCTGTCACGTCCGGGGCCCTCGCTCCAGGGTGCACGCGGCCGGCCAACCGTCCCACACCAACCTGGGGTAGCGGCACTCGATGGGGACCTCGGCGCGGTTGGTCCTGAGGATGGACAGGTTTCCCGCGGGGCGGGGGTCGTGGAGCAGGAAGGAGCTGTACACCAGGGAGTCGTCAGTCACCTGAAGGGAACGGGAGGGGTGAAGCCCACCAGCGTCACAGCCCCCAGGACGCTCCACCCCTGCGAGGATGCAGTGAGGGTGAGCAGGTGTGTGGGGGCGGGGAGGACTCAGGCTCTTCTGCTGGCCAGTTGGGGGGGGGCAGGGGACAGACAGGACTGAGGTCTGCATCAGCTCAACAGCGCCCAGCCACTCTCCCCTTCTCACAGGGGTTCCTTTCTCGGGGTGGGGGTGGGGGGAGGCTCCAAAGCAGCAGCCTGAGTCCCAGGAACTTGAACTTCCTGCACACCTGTCACCGTTCTGCCCTACTCGCAGGCCCATTTCACAGAAGGGAAGCCGGAGGCAGGAGAGCACAGGCAGGTGCAGCTAGGGCAATCGGCACCCCCCCAGGGGGCCTGCAGAGGGAGGAGGAGGGGCCTGCCTAGGGAGAGGAGCACCTGGGGCGCAGGTGGCCACCCGGCCCCAGCCTCAGCCTCCAGCCCCTGGCAAACCTTGAGGGGCCCCTCGTCAAGGGTTAAGGACTGCAGGTCAGGGCAGGCACAGGGCCCGGTCGGCCGGCCGTGGTCCTGGGGACACAGCAGTGGAGAAGGAAGCAGCTGGGCTTTGCTGGGCCTTGAGGTCACCAGGGGTTGCAGGGCAGAGCCCCGTGCCTGGCTCTGGTTTAGCAGCCAGCGCAGCCTGGACAGTGGCATTTCGGAAGCCTCCCACGTGCTCCTAATGCGTGAGGCTTGGGAGTCACCGAGCTTTAATTATCCCTCAGATAACTCCTGGCTGCTCGGGGGTCCCCCTCTCCAGGGAAACAAGGACCCCCACCTGCCACCAACACCCGAGCCTGGAAACCACACGTGGGATCGGAGCTCCGGCTGGAGGCTCCAGGGCCCAGCTGGCCCCGCCTCGGCCAAGCTCCAGCTCCAGGATTGGGAGGATGGGGGAGAGCCCCCTTGTTGTGGTCTGAGCCCGTTTCTCCACTGACTTGGGGGAGAGGGGCTGGTCTGGATGCTGAGGTCTCTTGCCTCCATGAGCCCCGTTGGCTCGGAGTCACCTGCAGGGAGCCAGTCAGCAGCATCAAGGCCTGCAGGACAACCCCGCTCCACTTTTTCCTCCAAGCTTTGCACACTGGCCTCCCTCGGCATGTGGCAGCTCAAGCTGTGCTCACATCAGCATCTCATGCCGGAGCACCTGGCTGCCCCACACCCAATCCAGCTCTCTAGTGTGGCTGGGAAAGCAGTGGAGGATGGCCCAAAGTCCTTGGGCCCCTGCCACCCATGTGGGAGACCCGAATGTAGTTTCTGGCTCTTGGCTTCAGCCTGGCCCAGCCCCGGCTGTTGCAGCCATTTGGGGAGTGAACCAGCAGATGGAAGATCTCTCCCCTCTCCCCTCTCCCCTCTTCCCCAACCCTCTTTCTCTTGAGACAGTTTGGAAAGTCCAACTGACATAGATAAAGAGGTCTTCCAACTACTGCTTCACCCCACAAGTGGCCACAACAGCTGAGGCTACACCAGGCTGAAGCCAGCAGCCATCTTGGTTTCCTGCATGGGTGCAGGGGCCCAAGGGCTTGAACCATCTTCTGTTTTCCCAGGTGCGTTCGTAGGAAGCCAGGTAGGAATGGGATAGGAAGTCTCTCCTCCGAGTTCCCAAGGCCTCCAAGCCAGTACCTGGTGGACCCTCCTCCCCCAGTGCTGGCCATGGAAGAAGGCTTAAGTCCTCAGGAGTTAGGGGGGTACCCCCTGGAGGGGCCCCCAAAGCACGGCCACCCCTGGACTCCACCCCACCTATCTGATTTCCACAACGCCAGGCAGGGAGCTGCCCACTGCTGCTCCACCTGCCTATAGACAAGCGAGAGGGGTCTGCCCCAGCTGACCCCCTATGGCTCATACAGCCACAGTACCCGCATCCGCCCACCAGGGCCGGGGAGCCCCAAGCCTCACCTGCACGCTGTTACCACATTCATGCAGCCCGACCTCGAACCTGACCACGGCGTCCGTGGAGGCCTGGGGCTCGCAGCCCTCGGGGCCCAGGCTGAGGTCGGCCTCCTGGATGAGCTTCCCGGTGCCAAAAAGGTCCCTGCTGACCGTGACCACGAGCCGGGCCTCCAGACACTCCACCACCACGGGCGTCACGGAGGGCGCGGGCTGGCGGGTCCCGCCCTGCCAGAACCAGAGCGGCTGGGGGCAGCACAGCTCCGAGCCTCCCCAGAGCAGTAGGCAAACGAAGAGCCCGTAGCTCAGCCCCATGGTGCCGACAGAGTGGCGGGCAGCCACCGGCCAGCCATCTTATACCCCAGGGAACGACGGCCGGCTCCCACCTGCGCGTGCACCTGTCTCCCTGCCCCAGCAGCTGCAGAGCAAGGCCCAAGGTCAGAGGGCATCATGGACACCTGCGAGGGGAGGGGCGTGAGCTCCCTGCCCTGCCCCGCCCACTGACCAGGAACCTGGGTCTCAGCTCCGGAAGCCCCTGGTGATTCCCATTGGCCTGCAGCCTTAACTTCTTACCACCTGCCCGCTGCCACCCACAGGTGCAGCCCAGGCCATGACAGGTCCGCGGGCCGTGAGCGGGTGAGGAAGGCTTTGACTGAAGCCTGGGGAGATTGGATTCCAGTGGGAGAGCAGAGGAGGGGAGCCTGAGAGGCCTCGGCAGACTCCACGCCTCCTCCGCGGTGGGCAGCCCCTGTGGGCCACGTGCACATTGTATATATATTTTTAGTGGTTTTATTTTTGGGAGAAGTCTCACTTCACCTGCTTCAAGGGATGGGCCTTTTTAAATGAACATTTTTCTTTTTAAAATGTTCATTTTTTTAAAGATTTTATTTATTTATTTGAGAAGTAGAGTTACAGACAGAAGGAGAGACGGGGATTCACTGATTCACTCCCCAAATGGATGCAACGGCCAGAGCTGGGCCGATCCTCAGCCAGGAGCTTCTTCTGGGTCTCCCACACAGGTGCAAGCGCTTGGGCCATCTTCCACTGCTTTCCCAGGCCACAGCAGGGAGCTGGATCGGAAGAGGAGCAGCTGGGATTAAACTGGTGCTCATATGGGATGCCAGTGCCACCGTTGGAAGATTAACCTATTGCGCCACAGCGCTGACCGCTAAAATGTTCATTTTATTTGAAAATCAGCAGAAAGAGAGAGAGAGAGAGAAATCTCCCATCTGTTGGTTCCCCCCCCCCCCCAGATGCCCACAGTGACCAGGAGCCTGGAACTCCACCTGGGTCTCCCAGGTCAATGGCAGAGACCCAAGGGCTTGAGCGCCACCTGCTGCTTCCCAGGGTGCAACAGCAGGGAGCTGCCATTGGAAGCAGAGCTGGGACTTGAACCGGGCACTCTGATATGAAATGTGGGTGTCGCAAGCAGACGCTTAACCTACTGCAGCAGAGCCCCCCCCCCCATGCTTATCCTCTCGTTCCACTTTCCGCAGGCTTCTTGAAGTGGCCCCATTCTTGGGCAAACGCACGCGATGTTAGTGGTTTGGAAATACTGCTTTCAATGCCCCTGGCTGCACAGATCGGGCGATGCCTGCTAACCCGACCTTTTCACCTTCACTCTTAGTATGTTGTAATACAAGTACCCAGGTGGCCGGCGCCGCGGCTCACTAGGCTAATCCTCCGCCTTGTGGCGCCGGCACACCGGGTTCTAGTCCCGGTCAGGGCGCCGGATTCTGTCCTGGTCGCCCTCTTCCAGGCCAGCTCTCTGCTGTGGCCCGGGAGTGCAGTGGAGGATGGCCCAAGTGCTTGGGCCCTGCACCCCATGGGAGACCAGGAGAAGTACCTGGCTCCTGGCTTCGGATCAGCGCGGTGCGCCAGCCGTAGCGGCCATTGGAGGGTGAACCAAGGGCAAAGGAAGACCTGTCTCTCTGTCTCTCTCTCTCTCTGTTCACTCTGCCTGTCAAAAAAAAAAAAAAATACAAGTACCCAGGGACCAACGCTTCCATTGAGTTCACATGAGAGACAGGTGGCTCAATTCATCCACTTACTGGCACTAAGCAGGGCGGGGGTCAGCTCAGGCAGAGGCAGCTGTGAGGAGAGGCGTCCTGGGGCCCCGGCTGGGCCTGGGGACATCTTGGAGCTCCAGGTCTTGCTGAAGCCTTAGGCAGGCTCTGGCCGGCTCCTGGCGGGAAGGGGGTCCCGAGATGAGAGTCTACTGCACCAGTCCTAGCAGGAGACAGCGCAAGACTGACAGGTGCAGCCCTTGCTGACTACATTCTCTGTGCTAGAGCACAGAGGGGAGGGGAAATTCTCACATTCATGGTGTGTAATTCCTGGGGACAGAAGTACACGTTCATTTGCAAATATTTGCTGCTTCTTCCTTTTTTGAAAGATTTATTTATTTATTTGAGAGGGAGAGTTACAGACACAGAGAGGGAGGGACACCAAGAGAGGTCTTCCATCCTCTGGTTCACTCCCCGGATGGCTACGATGGCCAGGATTGGGTCAGGCTGAAGCCAGGAGCTTCTTCCAGGTCTCCCACGCGGGTGCAGGGGCTCAAGCACTTGGGCCACCTTCTGCTGCTTTCTCAGGCCATAGCAGAGAGATGGATGGGAAGTGGAGCAGCCAGGACTCGAACCGGTGCCCGTTCGACGCCAGCGCCGCAGGTGGGGGCTTGGGCTGCAGAGAGAACCTGGCGAGAGCTCAGATGAGGCGCCCCTGCAGCCCGAGGTTCCCAAGGGGCAGTGAGCTGGACGGGCTGCGTCCCCGGAGCGCGGCCGCGCTGGCACGCAGCTGTGCAGGTGTTGCTGGGAATAGGGTGGGCGGGGCTGGGAATGGGAGACCAGGGCTTCCCAAGGCTGCACATGCACCCTCAGCTCTCAGAGGACCCCAGAGAAAAAAATGGGAAGAAATCGGCGAGTGTGGGTGTGGAGAGTCTATGCCCACGACGTGAGTGGAGCTGCATTCCCCTTCGTGAGAGAGCGGACTGCAGGACTCCTAAGGCTGCGACCAGGGAGGGAACAGGCCCAGCACCTGCGGGGTGGAAATGTTAGATCTTGTGCATTTTTCAGAGATGTGCTGCCCCCTGGTGGCAACAAGGCACCAACCATGCAGAATCCAACAGTATTTTCCTTGAGCCTAGATACTTTTTTTTTTTTTTTGAAGAATTATTTATTTATCAGAAAGGCAGAGTTTCAGAGAGGCAGAGAGAGAAAGAGAGAGAGAGAGAGAGAGTCTTCTATCTGCTGGTTCACTCCCCAAATAGCTGCAACGGCAGTGCTGGGCCAATACAAAGCCAGGAGCCAGGAGCTTCTTCTGGGTTTCCCTGGTAGGTGCAGGGGCCCAAGCACTTGGGCCATCCTCCACTGCTTTCCCAGGCCATAGCAGAGAGCTGGATCGGAAGTGGAGCAGCCAGGACTTGAACCTGCACCCATATGGGATACCGGCACTGCAGGTGGAGGATTAGCCTGCTAAATCACAGTGCCAGCCCCTTTGTTTTATTTTTTTTAAGATTTATTTGAATGGCAGAGTTGGAGAGAGAGGGAGAAAAAGACACACCACACACACACACACGTGCGCACACGCACACACACACTTCATTCCCCAAATGGCCACAATGGCTGGAGCTGGGCCAGGCTGAAGCCAGGAGCTTCTTCCAGGACTCCCACATGGGCACAGGGGCCCAAGCGCTTGGGCCATCTTCCGCTGCTTTCCCAGGCCATTAACAGGGAGTTGGATGACAAGTGGAGCAGCCGGGACTTGAACCGGTGCCCATATGGGATGCCGGTGCCACGGGTGGATACTTAACCACTACACCACAGTGCTGGCCCCTCCCTTAAGTTCAGGGTTCCTGCTGGGGGAGCCGTATCACTCCCTCAAGTTGATAAAGTCTTTGAGTAAAATCAGGGCAAGGAAAGTGAGCTAAGGAGGGGGGCTGGGGGGCAACGGGAGGCCAGACCCGCGGGCACCCAGCAGACAGGGCCTCCTTCCACCTTGGGCAGCACCTGCGAGGGGTGTGGAGGGCCTCCCTGCCCACGCGGGGAGCCTGTCCCTCAGGGTCGACGCGAGTTAGGGCACTCGGGGACTCCAGGGTTGGCTAAGGGCTGTCTCAGATCAGGCACGCTTGGCTGCCCTGCACGGGGGTGGAGCTCCATCCAGGCTTCCAGAAACCTGATTCCTGGGGTGGGGGCAGGGAGGGGGTACAGCACAGCCGGGAGAGGAGGGGCCCTCCCCCACACCCCATCTCCTCCTCCGCCCGCCTGGCGCCCTTTCTCTGGGGCCAACTCCGGCTGTGCAGGCCACCTCCGCGGTCCCTTCACTGCCCTCTGCCCCCAAGGTTGGGTGGGGACAGGCTGGGGCCACCGGCCAGCCCCATGGACAGGGACTCTGCCCCTGCTCGCCTTGCAGCCTCGGAGGGGAAAGAGGAAAGGGCCGTGGCCACCTGCGTCTGGGGGTGCCTTCCCCCTCTTAAACTTCCGGGCACGGAGACGGCGACTCCACCTCGCACGGACTGTAGGAGAAGGGACGGAAAGAGTCCAGAACATTCCGCCAGGTATGAGCCCTTCACGGTGCTGATGCATGTGTGTGTGTGTGTGGGTGCGCGCGTGTGACAAGTTTCCCATTGATCAGTCTGGGAGGTGTCCTTGGCCATCTCCTGGGTCCCTTCTGACTGCTTCATTCTTAGATTCTGCAGCCATAAACCTCAGTCAGTCATTCAACAAACATGTTCCGGGTCTGTACTCAGGGCCAGGTATGATCCAGCTCCCACCCTCAGAGGTGCACAGTCTAGAAGGAAAGACGGTCAAGACAATGGCGTCCACCCTGATGCTTTGCCAGACACTGGGCTAACACTTTTGCGAACATCAGCTCCTTTAGCCTAGCAACAGCTATAAGGGCTGAGTGACTCCCACAGAGGACCGTGAGGCTGGCAGGTGCGTCCTGCTGCCTGCCCGCACCTGGGTGACAGGTGCACGTACAGAGAGCAGAGAGGGAACCAGACAGCCTCGGGGGGCCACAGTCACCGAGAGCACTGGCGAGGAGGAACCCCCAGCCTGACCCTGGTCCCCAGGGTGGGAGGCAGGAGCAGGCTGGGGGGTGGGGAGGGAGCAACTTCCGGTCTGAGGAGGAGGGAGGTGACCAGGCTTCATGAGGTCCGTGAAGACTGCTGGGGTCAGCCGGAATCTGAGGTCCCTGGGGTCAGGATTAGGGGTCCTTCTTCCATGCTCCTGGGCTGGGTTGCCGGGGGCGGGGGATTGAGTGGGGGAGGGGGCTCCCAAGGATTCCTGGAAGTTGTCCCTGTACTCACAGGGTGGCAGCTGGGGTGGGGTGGGGTGGAGGTGGGGCAGTGTCCCAGGAGGCTAAGAGGGAGGTGGCCCAAGGTGGGGAGGCAGGGGACAGCCCAGACAACTATGTGCCTCCCTTCCCCCCCCACCTCACAGCCAAGATTGCACTGAGGGGCTCCCCTCCCCCCAGGCTTCAGACCCCATCTCCCAGCTGTCCCCAGCCCAGGACAAAAGCTGATTATTCCGCTGGGGCTGCACCGGGCCCCATGAATGGGTGTTGAAAGCCCCGTGTCCGCGTGCAGATAGGTTTTCTTCTCCCCAACCTGACTGTCAGGGCGGGCGGAGGCAAGGCCAGGGAGAGCCCAGGGGGGAGGGGAGGGGGGATATCCTCCCGGAAGGGGCACCTCAGGCTTAAGTGTATCCCGCGTGTGCACCACCACCTCACAGCTGCATCGTGGGGGCTGGGCTCCCGCACAGCCCAGGGAAGCCAGGTGCTGTCAGTCCAGCTGTCCAGGTACCTTTTGTGTTGGTCCTTCCTCTCTGCCCACTCATCATCTGACTGCATCAGCCAACCCACCCACTGTGCGCTGTGCACCTGCCCAGTTGCTGGATGTTGGTCACTGGTCCCTGCTTTTCCTTCCACTTTGATACCTCAGTCAGAAAACAAGATCGAGGGCTTCCTCCCTCCAAAGCACACAGCCTCCCAGGTGGCGCTTGCTTGTTCAATTCTCCCAGACGCCTCTTCCTTTGCCACTTTGGCATATTTGTGGGCACGGGAACCAAGATTTCCTGAACATTTCTTCTCTTTATTTTTTTTTTTAAGATTTGTTTATGTATTTTGAAAGGCAGAGTTACAGGGGGTTTGGCAGGGAGAGAGAGAGAGAGAGAGAGAGAGAGAGAGAGAGAGAGAGAGAATAGAGAGAGAGAGATCTTGCATCCAATTGTTCACTCCCCAGATGGTTGCAACAGCCAGGGCCAAGCCAGGCTGAAGCCAGGAGCTTCTTCCAGGTCTCCCGCATGGGTGGTAGGGGTCCAAATGTTGGGGCCATCATGTACTGCTTTTACCAGGCGCATTAGCAGGGAGCTGCATTGGAAGTGGAGCAGCCAGGACTCAAACCAGTGCCCATATGGGATGCCTGCATCAAGGCAATGACTTTACCTGCTGTGCTACTGCGCCAGCCCCAATTTCTTCTCTTTAAATTGACTCATGTCTTCTGATTTAAATTCATTTGAAAGAAAAACTTTCTACGGAGGCAGGAGGTCTTCAAAAAGTTTGTGATGATGTGTGTGTTAGGAAAAAACCAGGCGTGAATTTCAAATTCTTATGGCATCAAAATAAGCATGTTTTTTTAAAGGCAACACTGCCTTATCGACCTGTGTATCCATCTATCCACTTATCTTTTAAGAGGCGGAAAGAGAAAGAGTGATTTCCTATCCACTGATTCACTCTTCCAGTACTCCAAGCTGGCAGCCAGAAACTCAATCCTGGTCTCCCATACAGCTGGCAGGAGGCCAAGGACTTTTTTCTTTTTCTTTTTTAAGATTTATTTATTTGAGGCCGGCGCTGCGGCTCACTAGGCTAATCCTCCACCTAGCGGTGCCGGCACACCGGGTTCTAGTCCCGGTTGGGGTGCTGGATTCTGTCCCGGTTGCCCCTCTTCCAGGCCAGCTCTCTGCTGTGGCCAGGGAGTGCAGTGGAGGATGGCCCAAGTGCTTGGGCCCTGCACCCCATGGGAGACCAGGAGAGGCACCTGGCTCCTGCCTTCAGATCAGCGTGATGTGCCGGCTGCAACACGCCGGCCGCGGCGGCCATTGGAGGGTGAACCAACGGCAAAAGGATGACCTTTCTCTCTGTCTCTCTCTCTCTCACTATCCACTCTGCCTGTCAAAAAAAAAAAAAAAAGATTTATTTATTTGAAAGGCAGAATTACAGAGGCAGAGAGAGAGGTCTTCCATCCGCTGGTTCACTCCCCTCATGGCTGCAATGGCCGGAGCTGAGCTGATCCCAAGCCAGGAGCCAGCAGCTCCTTCCGGGTCTCCCATGTGGGTGCAGGAGTCCAAGGACTTAGGCCATCTTCCACTGCTTTCCCAGGTGCATTAGCAGGGAGCTGGATCGGAAGTGGAGCAGCCACATGGGATGCTGGCCCTGCTTGTGGCAGCTTTACCTGCTACGCCACAGCGTCGGCCCCTGAGCCTAATGACTTGACCCATCACCACCGCTTCTCGGGGTCTGCATTAGCAGGGAGCTGGAGTCAGGGTCCAGAGCTGGGTCCTAGACCCAGAGGTCCCTGATACGGGATGCAGACATCTTAACCGCCAGGCTAAATGCCCGTCCCCAAATAAACATGTTTTTTAGATTTCATTTTTCCAAGAACTCTTTGAAGTACCCTCATATTGTACCAATGGATAGAAAACCAGAGCTCAGGGGGCCAGCGCTGTGGCACACTGGGTTAACGCCCTGGCCTGCAGTGCTGGCATCCCATATGGGCACTGGTTCAAGACCCGGCTGCTCCACTTCCCATCCAGCTCTCTGCTATGGCCTGGGAAAGCAGTAAAGGATGGCCCAAGTCCTTGGGCCCCTGTACTCACGTGGGAGACCCGGAAGAAGCTCCTGGCACAGCTCCGGCCATTGTGGCCATCTGGGGAGTAAACCAGCGGATGGAAGACCCCTCTTTCTCTCTCTGCCTCTCTTCTCTCTGTGCAACTCTGACTTTCAAATAAATAAATAAATACCAGAGCTCTGAGATGGGCCCTGTGGGAGAGCAGATTAACCCAGCACTTGCCACACTGGATCCCATAACCGAGGGCTGGTTCAAGCCCTGGCTGCTTCACCTGCAAGCTAGCTTCCTGTTAAGGCATCTGCGAGAGTTCCTGGCTCCTGGCTTTGGCCTGGCCCAGCCCTGGCTGCTGTGGTCATTTGAGGAGTGAACCAGTGGATGGAAGATCTTTCTCTCTCTCTCTGTCTCTCTGTCCAAGTCAATAAATAAATAACTAAATAAATCTTAGGAAAAAGCAAACACAACCACCACAGTTCTTTGCTATAAGTGGAAAGTACTGTAAAAAAAAAAAAATCAATGACAATAAAACAGTCACGGTCTACCTGTAGCTCCCCGAAATGACGTGGGCTCCTATGGCACCTGCACCATGCGCTGGGATTCGTGGGCTCCCGTCTTCCTCATCCCTGGCTGTTGGCCCCGCCCTCGCCTGCCCTTCGGCCTGAGGTTGGCCCCCCCTCCAGCGGACAGTAAGCCGTGCAGGTCTTGAATTCCAGATGTTCCAGCTGTGACTTCTCCCCGGCCCCTTGATGGGACCACCGGCTGGCTGGACGCACGGGGACGCAGAGGCACGAATGGGTCCCCAGCTGGATGAAAGGACCCCGGCGTGGAGGCCAGGAGATGGGGGCGCGGCCCCTTCGCCCCTGCCCCCAGCCCTGTCCTTCCTTCTCCTCCTGCCGCTGGGTGAGTGCTCCCCGCCACCCCTCACCCCTACCCCGCAGTCCCCGGCCCTTCACGTCCCTGGCCCTTGTCCCAGGGTGTACAATTATGGTGGAAGGTGAGTTGTGAATGAGCCGGTATTCGGCATTCTTTCCAGCTCGGATGTTGGCCCAGGGCTGACAAAGAGCAAAGAGGCTAAGTTTGGGGGCGCAGAGGGCTCGGGACCGGAAGTGAGAGCTAAAATGACCCCAAGAGTGGGGAGCTGGGGGATCCTGGACATAGGAAAGAGGGAGATGGGCCCACCAGTAGCTGTTGGAAAGGCAGCTGGTAGAACAGACAGAATCAGATGGCCTCAGGACTGTCCTGAGGTAAGAAAGAAATGGAACCTCAGTTTCTTCATCTGTGAAATGGGTGTGCTAGTATTAGAGTACCTCAAAAAGTTCACGGACAAGTAGGATCAGAAGGGAAGTTTATTGGGGTGGGCGTTTGGCCCAGTAATTAAGATCTTGCTAGGGACATCTGTATCCCGTACTGCAGTACCAGGAGAAGGTTTGAGCCCCAGCTGCACTCAGAATTCAAGCTTCCTGGTGGTGCACACCCTGGGGGATGGCAGATGATGACCCAAGTATCTGGACTCTGCTACCCATGTGGGAGGCCCGGATGGAGCTTTCCGGCTCCTGGCTTCAGCCTGGCCCAGCCCCTGGCTGTTGCTGGCATTTGGGGAATGAACCAGCAGGTGGAAGATATCTGTGTGTGTGTGTGTGTGTGTGTGTCTCTGTCTCTGTCACTCTGCCTTTCAAATGAATAAATAAATCTTTTTAAGAAATAAACTTATCTTTTAATTCCATTGCCCATCAAACTTAGAAAAAAATTTAATATTTATTTTTTGAAATTCAGTGTTCCACAGAAAGATCTTCCATAAAAACTGATTGGGCCCAGGTGGCCCAAGAAGCCAGAAGCCAGGAGCTTCTTCTGGGTCTCCCATGTGGGTGCAGGGGCCCAAGGACTTGGGTCATCTTCCACTGCTTTCCCAGGCCATTAGCAAGGAGCTGGATAGGAAGTTGAGCAGCTGGGACTTGAACCGGCACCCATATGGGATTCTGGTGCTGCAGGTGGCAGCCTTATCCGCTACGCCACGATGCCGGCCCCTTCCACAAACTTAAAAAAAAATTTTTTTTTTGTTTACTTAATTTATTCCAAAGGCAGAGAGACAGACTTATAGAGATCTCTCACCGGAGATCACGCTCCAAATGCCCACAAATAGCTAGGCTGGGCCAGTGCAGAGCCAGGAGCCGGGGGAAGCAGCCAGGTCTCCCGTGTGGGGTGGCAGGGACCACACAGGTGGCCCTGAGAGAGAGAGAGGCATGCACGTGGGGCCCAGGAAACTCCGAGGAAACGGGCAGCGCTTCTACCGGAGGGTCCAGGAGGGCTTCCTGGAGGAAGGGGCTCCAGGCTGGGTCTGGGGTCTGCAGAACTAAAACGAGCAGGGTTAACCAGAAGGGGTAAAATAGCTGGAGATCAGACAAAGGGGAGATGAGGGAGGAAGGGAGGCTGGTCAGGCCGCTTTGCAGAGAGAGCCCAGGGGCTGGGAGTCCTGCAGGGGAGAAGCAGGCGAGTCAGGCAGACCTCTCTGGGGTGGGGGTGAAGTGGGGAGTCCTACGGGGACCAGAGACAATGGCGCTTCGGAAAAGCAGGAGTCCTGGGGGCGGTGGGGATGGAGAGGACCGTGGGGGAGGGGCGGCAGCTGAGGAATGGGGGAGGGGCCCACATTGTTCCCCACTCTGTTTCAGCCAGTGCCCTCCAGCCCACTCCACTGCCCTTCCCAGGTAGGTGCCGCTGCCCCGCCCACCCTCACCCTCCCCTGCCCCCAGGTGTGCAGCTGGACTGAGAGAAGACCTCAGGGGAGTGGGGAGCCACCAGCCCCCTGCCGTGACCCTACTTGCCCCGGGCTGTGTGGTGGGGGTGGGGGGATCGCCACAGTCTCCCCACTGCACAGAAGGGACTGACTCCAGGGGGTCCCACGGCTTTCTGGCCACGGGGGTCCGCCCGGAGGTCAGATCGGGCACAGGGACTCCCTTGGCCCCGCCGGGGCGCGCCAGCTTGTTTCTCCGCAGAGCTGAGGCTGGTGGGGGGCCCCAGCCGCTGCCGGGGGCGCCTGGAGGTCCTGCACGACGGCTCCTGGGGGAGCGTCTGCGACGACGACTGGGACGTAGTGGACGCCAACGTGGTGTGTCGCCAGCTGGGCTGCGGCCTGGCGCTGCCGGTGCCGCGGCCGCTCGCCTTCGGCCAGGGCCGGGGCCCCATCCTGTTGGACAACGTGGAGTGCCGCGGGCAGGAGGCGGCGCTGAGCGAGTGTGGCAGCCGCGGCTGGGGCGTACACAACTGTTTCCACTACGAGGACGTGGCCGTCCTGTGCGAGGGTGAGCTGCGGGCCGCTGGGCGGTGGGCTCCACTTAGGGGTGAGACGGCCCGGGGAGGGGGGGGATCGGACTGTGTGGCCATCGGAGGACGGGGCTAGGGGCTGCGTCGCCAGGGGCTGGGCGGAAACCCAGCACCGTGGTGGAGTGGTTCGGACCTGGACAGCAGCGCTACCAACTTTCAAGAAAATCATCAGATTCGGTGTTCTTGGCAGGTCTGGGGTGCGGCCCGAGAATGCGCATTTCCAAGAGCTGCCAAGGGGTGAGGGTGGAGGACAGGCAGGTGGCTGACCTCCTCTCTTGCCCCCGGCCTCTCCTCCGCAGAATTCTTGCCCTCGCAGTATGCCACAAGGAGAGCGCTGACCAGCAGCGCGCCCCCTCCATCTCTGCAGAATGGGAGAGGTGAGCCCGGGTGGGGTGCGGGGCGCTCAGGAGAGGCAAGCCCCAGCCAGGCCCTACCCAAACTGAGGATTGGGGATGGCGAGGAAGTGGGGCTGGGGGCTGCGGCCATGCACGGAGTAATGGTCAGGACCAAAGAGGCAGGGCAATCGGGGGAGGAAGAGGGGGTCCCGTCAGGGCGGATCAGGGAGGGCTTCCTGGAGGCAGGGCTGTGGCTTGAAAGGAGGAAGCTGGGGAGAATTGGAGGCAAGGTGGCTGGCTCCCCCCACCCCACCCCACGCCGGGAGTGCCAAGCTGGGTCTCTCCTGGGATCCACAAGCCAATCCCATCTGAGCGGTGGGCAGGCAGCGCCTCCGGGGGTGGGTACGCCTGGGTCTTGGGGCGCTGGGGTGGAAGGCGCAGCCCTGTGCAACGTGCGCCCCTCTCCCCGCACCAGACGAAGGCAGCGTGCGCCTGGCGGGGGGCGCGGGCCCGTGTCAGGGCCGCGTGGAGATCCTGCACGCTGGGGTGTGGGGCACCGTGTGCGACGACGACTGGGGGCTGCCGGACGCCGCCGTGGTCTGCCGCCAGCTGGGTTGCGGCGCGGCCCTGGCCGCCACCACCAACGCCTTCTTCGGCTACGGCACGGGCCACATCCTGCTGGACAACGTGCACTGCGAAGGCGTTGAGCCGCAGCTGGCCGGCTGCTCCAGCCTGGGCTGGGGCGTGCACAACTGCGGGCATCACGAGGACGCGGGCGTGTTCTGCGCAGGTGCGGGGCGCCGGCCGAGGGCGGGGCGGGGTGGCAAGCGAAGGCGGGGCCAGGGGCGGGGCGCCGGTCGGGGCGGGGCCGGGCCCTGTCCTGATGCTGCAGGAGATAAAGTGCACCCCGAGTGGGCGAGCGATTTTTAATATCTCAGTACTGTCCCCCGTGGCACGCTGCAACCCAGGCAGCAGTACTGCAGTGTTGCCCCGCCAGTATTCCACGGTGTAAGGCCTGTGGCCCGTACCCTAAGAATACATCCCGAATTTTCTAGCAATTTCCAATTACTCTCCATGGACTACTTCAAAGGAAGGATACTCTAGAATCATCCCAGAGATACTCCAGAGTTCTCTGTTTAAAGCAGAATTGCCTATCACAGCCCTCTGTAAACCCGATGCTGTGTTTTAAGATTTCTTTCTTTGTGGGCAGCGGGGCAGCTGGGATTTCAACCAGGATGCTGGTGTCGCAGGCAGTGACTTAGCCACTGTGCCTCCACGTTGGCATTTTCTCCCTGCCTAGAATCTCCAAGACAGACAGTGCTTGCCCATGGCTCCTTCTGGTTCACAGCAAATCCAGGGCTGGCGCCTCCAGCCATCCGGGAGCCAGGGCATCGCCGTGGGCGCAGCAGGCTAACTTTGCTGCATGGCCTTGAGCTCACACCCCTGGCCCCGTCTAGCCCTATTTCACCCGTACCCTGGGGATGGTGAAGCTTGTTCTACCCAGTGCTGGGGACTGTGCATGGCCTGCCCTGGTGGGAAAGGTCTTTTTCTCTGTTTCCACTTCGTGGACGCCTTGGGCTTCTGAGAACTTTGGAGAGAAATGAAAAGTGTGTGTGTGGGGGGGCTGTCCAAACCGTGAATCGTGTACCTGTGCAGCCAAAGTAAATAACAGCCGATGTCCAAGCCGGGCAGACCACACTGGGCCCCAGCTGGGGCTCAGCTCCCAGCCCCGAAAGCCACGTCCTGTCCGCTTCTCTCGGGCCACCCTCCCCTCCTCGCCGGACAGAACCCCCCAGCCTCTGAGCCTGCCGCCTCCCCTCTCTCCTGCTCCAGTCCTGGACCCTGCAACTCCTACAGCACCGCCACCCTCAGCCACAAGAGACGACTCGGCCTGGCACACGGAGCGCGCAGGTAAAGACTCCAGCCCTCCCCAGGCTCGAATCAGAGAGAGGCGGGGTGGGCGGGGCAGACAGGGGGGTACACGGAGCCCAGCGTTCTGCAAGGTGGGAGGGGGCAGTAGGAGCCTTTGGGACCTGAAGGGCCTTGCTTGTGAAAGGGGTTGAATTAAAGTTTGAGTCACGGTTAGAAACCGCGTTTGGAATTCGGGTTGGCAGTATCTGTGGGATGGAAATTAAGAGTGGCGGCTGGCATTAGACCTCGCCTCGTTCCAATCAAGTTTCCTGGAGAGCCCACGGCCACGCAGGGACGGCACGGCCACCCTGGGCTGGAGGCGGAGTGGGGTGGGGTTCAGCTTTGGGAGGGGCTCCCCGACCCCCTTCTCTGCAGCTACTCGGGGCGGTGCCCAGCCCTCGGGGGAGACTGCGTCGCTGACCACCGCCGCCTGGGCAGCGGGGAGGAAGAGTAAGTAGCAGGGCTCCGGGGCCGCGGGGCGGGGAGGGCGGGCAGGCCGGGGCTCTGGCCGGGAGCCGTTCGCCCCAGCCCAGCCCCTCTGGCCGCGGGCCTGTGCGCCCCGCAGGCGGGCGGCTGCGGCTGGTGGGCGGCCCGGGCCCGTGCCGCGGCCGCGTGGAGGTGCTGTACGCCGGGGGTTGGGGCACCGTGTGCGACGACGACTGGGACTTCGCGGACGCGCGCGTGGCCTGCCGCGAGGCGGGCTGCGGACCCGCGCTGGGCGCCACGGGCCTCGGGCACTTCGGCTACGGCCGCGGCCCCGTGCTGCTGGACAACGTGGGCTGCACGGGTACCGAGGCCCGCCTGAGCGACTGCTTCCACCTGGGCTGGGGCCAGCACAACTGCGGTCACCACGAGGACGCCGGCGCGCTCTGCGCAGGTAAAGGCCACCGCGTGACCGCCTGACCGCGCGCAGGCGCGCACTGTGGTGCGGGGGCGGGGCAGGGTAGACGCCGAGCGACGGGCGGGGCCGTGCGTGCGCGCGCACTGCGGCCCGGGCGCGGTGGGGCCGGGACTGAGAGATGGGCGGGGCCGTGCGTACGCGCGCACTGCGGCGGGGGCGGGGACGAGGCCGGGGCGGAGTCGGATGTGAGAGGTGGGCGGAGCCGTAACGTACGCGCGCACTGCGGAGGGGCAGGACAGAGCCGGGTCTGAGATGGGCGGGGCCGTGCGTAAGCGCGCACTGCGGCGTAGGCGGGGCAGGCCCTGTAAAGGTGGGCGGGGCCTACGTGTACGCGGCACTGCGGTACGGGCGGGGCCGCACGGGATTGGCGGGGGAGTGGGCGGGGCCGCGCGTGAGCGCTCTGCGGCACGGCGGCGGCCTGGGGGAACGCCCTCTCCGCAGAGGAGCGCCCCGCGTGTCGGCGCGCTCTGCGCCTGCGCGGCAGGGGCGGGGCTGGCAGGGCTGGCGCTCTGCGGCGGGAGGCGGTCTGGTGCCGTGTGCGGCGCTGCGGACCCCAGGGTGGCTGCGGTTCCGCCACTGGGGAGGGTGGGGCCGCGCTGGTGAAATCGGGAGTCAGCCTTGCGCGGGCGAGGGGTGACCTCTGGGACGAGCCTGGGGGAAGGTGGCATTTGCAGGGTGGCCGGTCGTTGTAAAGCTCAGCCCCAAGCCTCTCTTCTCCACCCACAGCCCTGGCCCCAAAGGCCCGAGCCCCAGGAAGCTTTTGCTTTGGGCCCCAGAGTCGAAGCAGCACAGCCCTGTTTCTGAACTGCTGTTTCTGAACAGCCCTGGGGGAGGGCTGGGGCTGAGCTGGCCCCAAGGAGCGTGTCCGTTAGGGTGACAGCCTCCTCTCCAATCTGCTTCCTGAGCTAGGCCCAGATGAGTTGGTCCAGCAGGAGGGGTCTGAGACCACGCGGGTGCCCACGCCTCGGCCCAGGGACGGTAAGCGCCCAGGGCCCCCCGACAGTGCAGGCACCAGGGTGGGCCAGCACCCGCGCGGTGTGCACGGGGCCCTGCCTGGGACGCTCGTCCGTTGGCGCTTCTCTGAGGCCTCATGACGGAGTTGGGGAAAGGAAGGAGGTGGGAGTTTCAAGCTGGAGCCCTTTAGAGACTGGGAGAGCCGGGATCGAGATCCTGTCCTGAGGGGGAGTAGCGGAAGAATTCAGAATTCGGCCTGGCGCTGGGGGGTGGGGGCGGCAGGGCTGGGCCGGTGTTGAGCCCCTGAAGGAAGACTGACGCCCCCATGCCCATCCCATTTTAGCCTTCCGGCATCCAGTTGCTCCCAGGGCAGTGCTGGGCGCCCCACCACCACCCCTTCCCTGGCCTAACCTGGGAGCGACCAGGCACAGGCTACCCCGCCCAGCCCCAGCCCTTGTCTCTGCCCACACAGGGCACCTTCGTCTGGCCAACGGAGCCCACCGGTGCGAGGGGCGCGTGGAGCTCTTCCTGGGGCAGCAGTGGGGCACCGTGTGCGATGATGCCTGGGACCTGCGGGCAGCCGGCGTCCTGTGCCGCCAGCTGGGCTGTGGCCAGGCCCTGGCGGCCCCCGGCGAGGCCCACTTCGGCCCGGGCCGGGGCCCCATCCTGCTGGACAACGTCAAGTGCCGTGGGGACGAGAGCACGCTGCTTCTGTGCTCCCACATTCGCTGGGATGCTCACAACTGTGACCACGGCGAGGACGCCGGCGTCCTGTGCCGGCCGTTATGACCCAGCCGGCCCTGCAGGCCACCCCTCTCCTCCTCCTCCTCCTGTGGCTACTGCAGTTCACTTCGCCCCTTCCTGCCCTTGCCTGGGAGAGAGCCTGCCCTGATGGGGTGGTCCTGCAGGGGGCAGGCGGGGTGGGGTGGGGGGAGCCCGGCCCTGCCTGCTCACCGTGTGACCCCAGCCTGTCATCAGCTATTGTGGGTCCACTTCCACGGACACGCCCATGTTTTGCTTGGCCAGAACAAAACGAGGGGCAGGGAAATCACCCCTCACCCCCTGTCCTAGGTGGGGCTCCTATTCCGACACCCTCGACCTCTGTCTTCCCCGACCTGCAGCCCGGGGGCCTCACCGTGAATGGGGCGCCTCAGTCTCCCAGGGCCTGCCCTGTTCTCCCAGGGCCTGGACTCGGATGGTGCTCGGCTGGACCAGGGGACTGGAGGGGCCGAAGCAGGGACAGGGGCCCCTCCCCGCAGCGGGAACCAGCGTCTCTCATGTGTGCTGCCCCCACCACAGAGCTCCCACTTTGCAGCCGCAAAGAATGCGGGGGGGGGCCTGTAGCCACCCTTTCACAGGTGCCAAGAGAATAAAGCACTGTCCCCGGTCTGTTGATGGAAGGCGGAGTGTGGGCCTCGGTGCGCCCCCTGGGGCAGGACAGGAGGAAGCGGCCGGGAGAGCTCCTGGCAGGCCGCCACACCCTGGACATGCTGACTCGCCGTGTTATGCCTCCAAGCCTCCCAGACGGTTCCCCTGGCCCATCCGTTTCCTTTTATTTATTTATTTGAAAGGCAGAGAGAAAGAGGAAAAGAAATCTTCCCTCCCACTGGTTCCCTCCCCAAACGGCCACCGGGATTGGGCCAGGCCAAACCCAGGAGCCGAGAGTTCAATCTGGGTCTCCCGCCTGGGCAGCGGGGAGCCCACTACTGGCGCCGTCACCTGCTGCCTCCCAGGGTGAGCGTTAGTAGGAAGCTGGACGGGAAGTGGAGCCGGGACCTGAACCCAGTGTCCTAAGTGGCAGGTTAACCACTGCGCCACCTGGATTCTCTAGAGAAAAGGCCGGAAGGGAGACCAGGGAGAAAGAACCAGCGGGGGGGACTTCCCGCAGCCTTCAGGCCTTGCCCTGAGGAGGGGATGCATGATTTGCTGGAATCAACTGGCCGGTGTCACTCCTGCTCTCTGCAGGCCCTGCATCAGCCTCCTGCTGGTCCCTGTAACCAGTCTGCAGGAAAGCAGTGCCTCGAGACAACACAGGAAGTGGGCCTCCAGCCTGGGCGTGGAGACGCCCACGTCCCAGCTCCAGCTTCCCGCTGCTGGGCACCCGGGAAGGCAGCAGGCGGCGGCTCACGCACTTGGGTCCCTGCCAGCCACGCGAGAGATCTGGATTGAGTTGTGGTTTTATTATCTTTTCGGTTCTCAAAGCCGGAGGTCTGAAGTGGGTCTCCCTGGGCTCCCTTGGGGGTATTGGCAGGGCAGTGTTCTTTGCAGAGCACCTAGAGAAAACACTTTCTTACCCTGTCCTTGGTGGGGCTGCCCCCCGCCCCCACTCCACCCCGTTCTGGGCCTGCTCGTGACCTGCTAGCCGTGAGTTTCCATCACTCCCGTCAGTGCATCCCCTTACACTCTGTGCCTCTCTCTTTGTATCTCTTAAGGCCTCCCATGTTTATTTTCATCTATTTTTTTAAATTTATTTATTCAAAAGTCAGAGTTACACAGAGAGGAGAGGCAGAAAGAGAGAGAGAGAGAGGTCTTCCATCCGATGGTTCACTCCCCAATTGGCCACAATGGCTGGAACTGCGCCAATCCGAAGCCAGGAGCCAAGAGCTTCTTCCGAGTCTCCCACGTGGGTGCAGGGGCCCAAGGACTTGGGCCATCTTCCACTGCTTTCCCAGGCCATAGCAGAGAGCTGGATGGGAAGTGGAGCAGCCAGGACTAGAACCAGCGCCCATATGGGATGTCGGCCCTTCAGGCCAGGGCGTTAACCTGCTGTACCACAGTGCCAGCCCAGTTTTCATCTATTTAAAAGACAAAGCAACAGAGAGGGGAGACATCTCCTCCCACCCCCAACCACCAAATGCCTGCGAAAGCCTGGAGTCCAGAACTGCGTTTCGCACCAGGACCCAAGCACTGGGCCGGTCTGTGGCTCCTGGGGTGCAGCAGCAGGAAGCCGGATCCCAAGCGCAGGTGCCAGGACTCTGATAGGAGAGACTTAACCTGTGACACCATAATGCCCGCTCCCCCAGGTCCTTAATCTAAACACACCTACAAAAGCCCTTTGGCCATGAAAAGAAACATTCTCAGCTTCTAAGGATCAGGATATGGACATCTCTGGGAGCCATTATTCTGCCTCCCACAGGCCTCAAGCCTGGGTCCTGGCTCCCAGCCACAGAGGGGACAATTTGACTCCAAAGTCAACTGCTCCTGAGAGCGGCTTTGTCTCTGTTTGTCAGGGACTTCTCCGAGACCCACTAATTCCCAAGAGAGATGAGAGCTGGAGCGTTGAATGACGACAGATCAGAAAACGCTGAAGACCTGGAGGAATCAAGGCAGAGGAACAGGGATAGTCTAGCTGTCCTGCGGTCCCTGCACGGCACACACCCCACTTCCCCCGTGGTCTTGGCCACTCCTGCCCTGCACGCATTTCAGCATGGCTCTCCTTTGTACCAAGAAATTCCTCAGCTCCCTGGACTAACATGCCCTTTCTAAACGAAGTCATTCAGGAGCGGACTCCTGGCACAACAGTTGAGATGCCACTTGGAGTGCCTGCGTCCCCTAGTGAAGGGCCTTGGTTGGAGTCTCAGCTCCACTTCCAATCCCAGCTTCTTGCTAATGCACACTCTGGGAGGTAGCAGGTGACAGTAGGTCACCTCTCTCTAAGCTCTTCAACTAAAATGAAGCCAAGTGGACTTTTTAAAAAGCATCTTTACCCACTGATGCTACTTCCTAAAACCTGCTGGACTCTGCTGGACAGCCCCGCGTTTCACACCGTGGCCTCAGCGCTGTTCCCATCTCTCACCCGTTCCCTATCCCGCAGGAACCATGAGCTTGCTCAGACTGACAGACCTGACGGGCCACTTCCCAGCTCAAACCCTCCCTGCACCAATCGGAAGCCAGGAGCTAGGAGCTTCTGGACCTCCCAACGCCGGTGCAGGGGCCCAAGCACTGGGAGCTGGGTTGGAAGTGGAGCAGTCAGGACTTGAACCAGCGCCCATATGGGATGCCAGCGCTGCAGGCTGGGGCTTTAACCCACTGCGCCACAGCGCCAGCCCCAGCTTTCACTTTGGATGGAAGGACTCCCCTGACACCCACTCCTGGTCTGGACCGGGAGCCTCCGTCACACCCTGTGCCTCCTCGATAACCACACTCATCCCTGCAGGTGCTTACATAACACTCGCCGAATGAATGGTAGACACTCGCATGTATTTCTGGAGCACCTGGGTACTTGGCCGAGCACTGTGCTGGGCTGTGGGCTACAGAGCAAGCAGAGACCTAGGCCAAACTGCTATTTTCGTGGCACAGAGATGACCTTTAAGCCGGGAAGCTGGGGCATGGGCATTTGGCCTAGCAGTGAAGACCATGGTTAGCACTCTCATGCCCATTTCCCAGTGCCTGGTTTCAGGTCCTGGCTGCACTCCCGACTCCAGTTCCTGCCAGTGCAGACCCTGGGAGGTAGCAGTGGTGACTCAAATAGTTGAGTCCCTGCCACCCACATGGGAGACCTGGATTCGGTTCCTGGCTCCCAGCTTTGACCTGGCCCGGCTGTTGTGTCTGGGGAGTGAACCAACAGTAAGAAGCTTTCTCTGTCTGTCTTGTCTCACTGTCTCTCTGCTCCGCAAGTAAATAAAATTTCAAAAAAGGAGCTGAATGGCAAGACATTGAACAAACAGGCGAGGCAACCTGAGCTATGCCACTAGCTGTCAAGAAACAGTGACTTGTGCAAGGGCCAGAGTGACCAGGGGAGGCCTCTAAGGACATGAGGCTTGAGCTCAGGCTACACAGCAAGATAGGCTGGCTGTGAACTTTGTGGCCAGGAGGTTTGAGGAGGACCATTCCAGATCCTTCCGTGGGGACGTAGCCTGGCCGGCAAAGGAGCAGAGATTGGAGCAAAGGGGAATTTGCAAAGAGGTGACTTGGAGAAGCTGGCGACTGCTGGCCCCTGTGGGTTTTCCAGGTCACAGGCAAGAGTTTTATTTATTTTTTTAAAGAGTTATTTATTTATTTGAAAGAGTTTCAGAGAGAGAAAGATTTTTCATTTACTAGTTCACTATCCAAATGGCCACAATGGCCAGGGCTGGGCCGGGACAAAGCCAGGAGCCTGGAACGCCATCGGGTCTCCCACGCGGGCGTAGGGGCCCAAGCACCTGGGCCGTCACCTGCTGCTGGATCAGAAGCAGAGCTGACAGGACAAGAACAGGTACCTGTAGGGGATGTTGGCATTGCAGGAGGTGGCTTAGCCTGCTGTGCCACGATGGGAGCCCTGGGACGAGGTGTTTTTTTTTTTTTTTTTTTAACATTTTATGTATTTATTTTACTTGGGAGACAAAGAGAGGCCTCTCCCATGCTGATTCACTCCCTGGAAGCCAACAACAGCCTAGGCTGCAGCCAAGCTGGAATGGGGAGCCCAGATATCTATCAGGGTCTCCCACATGGGCGGAAGAGACCCAGCGACTGGAGCCATCGCTCGCTGCCTCCCAGGGCCTGCATTAGCAGGAAGCTGGACTCGGGCGCAGAATCGTCCAGCACCCGGTGTGGGTGTCGTAACTGCCAGGTCAAATGTCCACCTGCTGTATACATTTTTTAAAAAGCCCTTGTGTATTCACACACACATCCCACCACACCCCCACTGTCATCACCATCTGCAGATAACTTCTCTTACCCCTGACGGCCTCTCCTGACACTGGGACCTTCCTTCTCGTCCTTCTCACCCCTCAACCTCCTCCTTTCTCCTCCCTGGTTTGCGAGGCCCCTGCTAAAATGCCTTTTTTGCTCATTGCATTTTTTTTAAAATAACAGTTGTATTGAGCTATAATTCACATAGCATAAAATTCACCCCCCTCTTTTTATTTATTTTTTATTTTTTTTAAAGATTTATTTATTTGAAAGAGTTACACAGAGAGAGGAGAGGCAGAGAGAGAGAGAGAGATCTTCCATCTGATGGTTCAACTCCCCAATTGGCCGCAACCGCTGGAGCTGTGCCGATCTGAAGGCAGGAACCAGGAGCTTCTTCCGGGTCTCCCACCTTGGGGCAGGGGCCCAAGCACTTGGGTCATCTTCTACTGCTTTCCCAGGCCATAGCAGAGAGCTGGATCGGAAGAGGGGCAGCCAGGACTTGAACCAGCACCCATATGGGATGCTGGCGCTTTCAGGCCAGGGCGTTAACCCACTGCACCACAGTGCCAAACCCCCCCCCTTTTTTTTAAAGAGATATTTGTTTACTTGAAGGGCAGAGGGACAGAAGGAGAGACAGAGGAGTGAGGTCTTCTACCTGCTGTTCACTCCCAGAAGGCCTAACTGTACCACAATGCCAGCCCCCAGAATTCACCTTGGATAGGAGTTACGCAATGCAGTGGCTATTATCCCTCCACATGGTTATGCAAACGTCACTAACTCCAGAGAATTT